GGTAGCTCTCAGGAAGAAGTGATATAGACTTTAGCCCCCTAGCAGTGTGTTTGGGGAACTGCAGCAGTACTTTTTGTTTGAGAGTTTTGTATCTCCTAACCTGAATAAGCCATATGTTCCTGTCCTGATTGTGTATGTGTTTGTTGAACTTTTCAGGTCAGAAGCTAACATTGTACCACAGGTCCCTTCCAAAGGAGGTGTATGTCAGCAACAAGTTTCACCTAGTGGAGACGCAACAGTCAGGTGTCTAGCACAGACATATATCATGGTTTTAATGTCTTATTCTTACAGCTGTTGTGTTGTGCAGAAGCATTAATAGTTCCCTTAACAGTTTTGGGACACCTACATGTAACAATCGCTATGTTATGTTTTCCAGTGGAGAATTTTGTATAGGCTCCAGTTAACCAATGTTCAGCACCAAGGACAGTGCTAACATGCCTCTCCAAAGGGCTTTTGTAGCTGCTCTAATAATGCACATTTGTTGAAAAGGCAAAGATTCCAAACATAAGGTTGCATCATCAGATGGAATTTCAGCACCATGAAAAGCTCAAATATCTTGTGGTTTTGTAACCACGATTGGATCCTTGGTTCTTTTATTTTTTTAATGCTGGATATTGTAAATGTTGCTGAGTTTTTATCTTCTTTTGACAGGAAAGCCATTTCCAAAAGTTCACCAGGGAAGGTGAGACAAATTTATATGTCAGACTTTTATGGAGTTTATTTTGCATCTGGCTTTGTGGTATTTTGCTTACTTTGATAAAACCAGTCCATAGTGTCTAGAATATCTTATTATGCAAGTTATAGATTAGATTAAGTTGGCTATTTGTTGTGTTTACAGGAAAAACAGACAGAAATCGATAGCAGAAACAAGTAGACCATTCACCTCATACGGTATGTGAAAATCTTCTTGTGTCAAATAACATACCATACATTACGTAGCAAGTAGCAGGATAGAGTTGGAGGGACTGGTCACCTTATATATATATATATCAATGTGTTTGAGTAAGAATAAACAGAGCAGTAGTTTGTGAAAGCATTATGCATATTTGCTTTGCAAATGTTACCTTTCTTTTTTTTTTACCGCTTTTGTCTGTTTTGAGATCTACATTTTTGTACCAGCAAAGCCTATTTTTGTGACCATTCCTTTTTTGCTGCATCTCATTTGTAGAAGATGACAGTCTTGAAGAGCTGGAGACTTCCTCCCAATCTTCCTTTGACTCAGACAGCTCAAGTCTGAGGTCCATTCTCAAGACAAGATCCAAGACAGCAAAGACAGACTGCTCTGTTAAGGTGTCTTGACACATTTTAATCAATTTTTCCTTGCCTTTTATTCATCCTGAATGTATTTTTGTTCTAAAAATAATATAATTTAATGCAGAATTTTTTCATTTTCATTATTGTGACCAGCATGTCAGCAGAGCATGCTGTGTCTGTGCAAAACCCAGTAATGTATTGTGCATATTACATTAGAAGAACGTCTCTTTTAAGGTCATATTTGCATATTAAAGGATGACATCTCCTCAAATGTATCGGAAAAGATGTCTGTAACGGGCAAAGTTATGTTGTAATAATGCCCAAACATCAAATGAAGACTGTGAAAAATCTGAGTTTCACGCAGGTGCAGTACGTTCTGCCAACATGCTTTTGTGACCAGGCTATCAATACAAACCTTTCCTTTACTTCCTGGAAATGCATTCTACAAGGATTCCAGTGATTCAGGAGAAAGGAAGCAGGTATCGTTCTCCCCGGAGGTCCAGGTTTCCCAGATCATCAAGAACACCACTCACCCCAGCCATCGGTCTCCACTGGCCATCAAGTCATGCACAACCACCGACAGTGTCAGACCATCGCTGGTTTGTCAAAAGGTGAGAGGTTTGGATATGCGGCTGAGCATCATCATCATGTTAGGCAACTCTCCCTCCAGACAGTTCTATCTGCCATTAGCTGCTCGAGATGCTCAGCCTTCACGCCCATGTCTTCAGCAAGCTGGTCGATATAAGTCCGATAAGGTTGCCCGACGCTGTCCATGTTTTGGGGCTTAGCCATCAGTCATAGATGAAAAGCAATTCAGGCAAAATTAAACCAGCTTAGGAGAGAATTTTCCAATGAACTAGCTGTTTGATCTCACCAGTGTTCTTAAACAAAGGGCACAGTAACCCTTCTTACTGTTTTTAAATATGAATCAATGTTTCAGATGATGCTTCAGAAAGCCCAAAGGAAAGCTGGAGTAAATAAGACCTCGAAAATAACCCAGCCTAGACAGTCTGACCCAGGGGAAGATGGTGGGAAGGAAGGGAGGCAGAGTCAACAGGAGAGCAGGGCAACACAATCCTTCAACAGCACACTCTTAGGTAATAATACTTTCTTTCGCTTATCACATATATTTGCCTTCGTCAGAAGGGTAGGCTTTTGGTTTGGGCTTGGTGGAGCAGCTGTGGTGTGTGTCTGTATGTAGGTCAGCGTCATAACTCGAAAAGTTGTGGATGGATCCTATTGATATTTGGTACATGAGTAGCCATTGTGAAAAAGAAGGTCAAGTTTGAAAAATGGTTCAAAATGGTTGGCTTACAAAAGCTGGATGTAGTTAATATCTTCATCTTCATCTTTGCCGGGGCTCAAAGATGTTACATGAGCCCCGGCTACACCCCCATATAGCCCCTGATGGGGCACTTTAGGGGGGGAGGCCTTGGTTTAAGGCGGGCAGGCCTCCAGCCTGGCCCGGAAGGACTCAACGGTGGGAGCCATAACTACCGGGCCAGGCAAGGCGTTCCATTGGGGGATTGTGCGAGGGAAGAAGGAATATTTGTAAGTGTCTGTTCGTGCATGTATAGGTTGATATTTATACTGGTGGCTCCCTCGGGTACGCCCTTGGGCTGGCTTGAGCAGGTT